CTATGCCATGATTTGGGCAACTCCAGATCAAGGAATTTTTCTGGAATCTTAAGAAGTTTGAAAATTCCCCTCATCATTTATGGCCTGAATACATCTGACAAATGATTAAATTAGTAGCTGTTTCAAATTGTACCTGTACCTACTATTAAAGCAGTACAATTCTTGCAATAGCTGTAATGGGTTTCCCTATGTAAGCATCTGCTGCAATGTATGCTATAACAGAACAACAAATGCTTACATGAAGTGAAATATTTATCTTTGTGAGTGTGTGATTCTAAAGGAAAGTGAACTTTTCAGGAGGGATGCCTCCGAAATCACATTTTTCTCTTAACTATTATTTATGCTGTCACTCTTGAGGTGGAGTAGTCACCCCCAAGCAACATCCTTTCTTTGATTTCTGTGATAAAGTAGTAGCACAAAATGTGAGCAGTTTTCATTTTATGCTAATTTGCAATCTTTCAACATTGGGCGAAGGAGTTCTTTGCAAGTCCACTCATAACACCAGCCAGGTACTGGCATGACCAGGAGACACAAAGTGATAGCTTCATCTAAAATGTTTATGTTAAGGGTAAAGTTATTCTGAATCCGTGGATTTATTGTCAAACTCTTAGCTGCAGGTAACTTGACACACTGTTCAGCAATAAGCCACTTTGTTCTGTGGCCTGTCCTTCGAAGACAGAGGTCCTCTGGCTGGGTCGGGATGGTATGGGGATGAGGGACCAATTCCCTTCTCTTGCGGGGGCCCAATTAGGGCCATTGCCTTCCGTTAAGAGTTTGGGTGTAATCCTTGACGCCTCCCTTTCTATGGAGGCGCAGGTTACAGCAACAGCCAAGGCGACATTTTTCCACCTTCGCTGCATCAAGCAGTTGGTCCCTTACCTTTCCTGCCCCGACCTGGCCACAGTGATCCATGCGACGGTCACCTCCAGGCTTGACTACTGTAATTTGCTCTACGTGGGGCTGCCCTTGAAGCTGTCCCAGAAACTCCAGCTGGTGCAGAATGCTGCAGCGAGGCTCCTCACGGGGTCTCTGCCATGGGAGCTGCACTGGCTCCCGGTGGAGTACAGGGTCAGATTTAAGGTGCTGGTTTTGACCTTTAAAGCCCTTCGCGGCCTAGGACCCTCGTACCTACGGGACCACCTCTCCCGGTATGCCCCACGGAGGACCTTAAGGTCCATAAATAGCAACACCCTAGAGGTCCCGGGCCCTAAGGAAGTTAGATTAGCCTCGGCTAGAGCCAGGGCTTTTTCAACACTGGCTCCGGTCTGATGGAACGCTCTGTCTCATGAGACCAGGGCCCTTTGGCTTCGAGTCAATTTGATTCCCTCCCCCTCTTTCTTTTTTCCTTTCTCCTCCTGTGATGAGGCTGCATTTTAATGTTTTAATGTTGTATTTTAATCTTGTTTTTAAGTTGTATTCATTCAACTTGTTTTTATTATTGCTTGTTAGCCGCCCTGAGCCCAGCCTTGGCTGAGGAGGGCGGGGTATAAATAAAATTTTTATTATTATTATTAAAAACACATAGCAGTGAAACTTTCTCGAGGGTATCTGAAATTGGTTTCTCAACTTCCTCATATATATGTATATTTAAAATCTGTGTTTCCCTTCTATAGTATGTCCTGCCAACCTATGAAATGGCTGTAAAGATGCCAGAGAAGGAACCTCCACCTCCTTACATACCTGCCTGAAGAAAACTGAAAACTTGTGGTTGAACACCCGTACCAGCTTCACTTTTTTATATTGCCAGACTGCTTTAATATTCAGGGCTTTAGGTGCAAAGCTACATGGTTGAGAGGCATTTGATATAACCTTACTAAAATCCATATGAAAATCATCCCTTTGCCAGTAGTTTTTAATTTCATTGATCATCTCAATCATTTTACAGTTATGCCTTAGGGTTTAATTCTGCAAGTACCTCTATATTTGTATATAACTTCATTCATATGCATTTACATTTTCATTTAATTTGATAAATAAGGATTAGTATCGGACGTAGGTGTTCACATGATCAGGCATTTTACAAATACGGATTAGTTCTGAAGGACAATCTGATCAGTTGGCAAGATAACAGCTTGTGTTTTTCTTCTTCATTTATATTGTAGTGGGAAGTTCAGATGTGGTATATGATATATATATATATATACACACATGCATATGTATATATATATATTTACTTGCACTTTCTCTTACCTTTCTTTATTGTTATTCAATGCCTTGAAACAGTATGTTCAGGAAGCCTAAAGCTGGCACTAATTTGAAGTTTTTCCTATATGCTGTGAATGCAGCAAAAGTGCAGCAAGAAATTACATTTGTGTCAGTTGCATGCTTCCAATCTGTGTGCATTTCCATCTTTGTTTATAAATGATGTTTAATAAAATCTTGTTAAAAAAATAATCCATTGGTGTATGATTTCATTCGTTGTGTTCATTAAAATAATTCTTGGGGTTTTTTTGTCTGCTAAAATAAAACTCATACTTTGAAATCAGTCCTGCAGCTTCAAGCAAAAACAATTAATTACCAGAGAATATACATTCATTTTTCATTGTGCTGGTATAAGAAATTGCTTTCATATCTCTCTTCTTTTGTGCCAGTCATCATTGGAGCCAGGGACAAATGTTATTAACTGTGGGTTGACCTAGGAGACTGTGAGAGTTCAGTAGTATCTCATGTTCTGTTTATCTGAAGGCATAGCTTGGATTCTCTCTCTCTCTCTCTCTCTCTCTCTCTGTGTGTGTGTGTGTGTGTGTGTGTGTGTGTGTGTGAGAGAGAGAGAGAGAGAGAGAGAGAGAAATAGAGATACCAAGGCAGTTTTAAATACCATATTGGCCCGAATATAAGCCGCATCTTTAAAATTCAAGGGGGGAGGGAGAAAAAAAGACAATACCTGAATATAAGCTGCTCCCTTAAAATTCCGCAGGCACTCACACCCATTCTGTTTTACTGTATGTCTTGTTTCAGCAGCGATATTGTAAAAGCCAATTTTTGTAAGGTCACAAATTTAAGCCGCCCTTTCACAGTTGGAATTTGGGGGGAAAGTGTGGCTTATATTCATCCCAATACGGCAATACATTTGGGTGTGGGGTGATGGCAGACGTAATATTTTGCAGAATATGCTTTAACTATGTATTAAAAACATGGACTGTTAATTTTAGCAATACTTGCTTTACACACTTTGAAGTCAAGGTGTTGGGTTTCCCTTCTCCTGGACTGAAAAAGTAAATTTTGAAATATATTCTGTCTGTGCATGTGCTTCCTATGTCTCTCTAGTCACATTAAAATTGCATATGAACTGGGATTGTGCTGGGATTGTGAGGTGGGCACCATTCTTTAAGAGGGGGGTGGGTTATAAGGACTGTCTCCTGCTTGGGTTGAATTGTTAAAAGGCATGCCTGATCTACTGGCAGATCGCAGGGTGTTCCTGGTAGATCTTTGGCCCCTTAGTGATCCCCCCCGGGGGGGGGACCTAAAACCTAAAGCCTAAAAAAAGCTCAAGAACTTTGGCCAATGGGTAGATCATCTCCAGTTTTTTATACTGTGAGTAGACAGCATACTGTGACAGTCTGTTGGGAGTTGGTCGTCCCTGCTCTAGATGTTAGGGCATGCTTGGGGAAGCACCTTCAATAGACTTGTCCACCCTTGGAGAGAGTGGGAACATGGGTAAAGACTATCTCTGAGCCTACTCCAGAGATTTTCCCCGCCCACCACCAACTGTCCTTTGGGAGAGGATCCCAGGAGAGAGCTGGGTGGCTGACAAAAGTCCATCTCAAAGCCTGGTCTGGATGGAAGGAGGGATAAGCCCAATCTTCGCTGTTATGGTCCCAATCCAACATCCCTTAGCTGCTTTGAAGAAGACCTTGGGAGGAATTCAATGTTGCACTAAGGTGATCATTCCATTAAGGGAAGCATTTTGGTTTGCTAGATAGGACAACCCTACCTACCTCCCCCCTACATACTATTATGGAGGTTCTCCCAACCCCTACCCCCAAGCCAATTTCAGGAGGTCTGGGGATTAGGGGGGGGACTCTGTTACAGAAGCCCTTATGCAGGTGATGGGACTCCTTAGCTGAATCCCATCCCCAATATAGATCTGTCTAGTGTCTAATTTGGCCCGCAGGACATTGCAGCATGTATATTTTATTTTCCTATAACCATAAAACAGGTGTGAGGTGCAGGCTGGGTATCTGAAGTTCAGATACAGAATTCTGCTATAAACATAGTTCACAGCGATCTCCCAGTCTTCAAAACAGATTCTTTTCTGTTTGTGCTATCTACTTTCAAGAAGGTGTTCAGGTTTGGTAGGTAAAACACAGTCCTGAATATGCACATCAACTTTAACCGCAATATCTCATTCTCCATGGCAGATACCGCATAAACATTACTTTTGCAGTGTTCCCCATACACTTTTTAAAAACGGGTACAAGGAGGGGTTCAGTTGGTCTTCAGATCTCAGAAGTGCTGTTAAACATATTGACTCCCAGGCTGATACCTCAGTCTTCAGGGTAGATATTGCACTGTGCTGTACGTTTCATTTTTTCTGGCTTTAATTAAAAGGCTATCCAGAACAGACCCATTAAAATTAATGGACATGACTGACTTAGGCCCATTGATTTTAGTGTGTCTACTCTGGTTAATACGTAGTTGGCTGCAACCCTCTGATATGATGGCATAGCCCTTTGATGCTGTCATGATGGGCTCACCTCTTGAATACTTTTCTGTTCTTATGTACATACCTGTGCTTGCGAGAAGTCTGGTTATATTTTTAGGAATCAGGAGGATTTCAGCTCCATTTGTATCACTGACGTGGATCCTCAGGATTTCTGAATGTGGACTATTGGTCGTCTTGGGAGTTTATACGAGGGTGGTCCATCCATGTAAACAAGCCAAGACTTGCTCCTTGGCTCTCTGTCGCTGTGCCGAGAACAACATGTGCAACTTCATTGCCATTATCTAAACATTGATTTGCTTGAATGTGACTTACCTATATTCAGCATGCAGCAGGCATGTTGAGTTCAGAGAAGGTATGGGAACTTTGCTAAAAGGGCCGTCGGGCAGAAGGATGCAGAAAGTCCCGGGTTCAAGCCCTGACATCTCCAGATCCTTGCCTAAAATCTTGGAGAGCTGCTTTAAACATTACTTGAGTAGTTTAGACATTGCTGAGCTTAGATGTACTAGTGTTCTGGCACAATTCAAGCCAGCTCCCTAGGTTCTTCCAAAATGGTGATACTTTTTTACTTTCCAATTAGCTGATCACTTTAAATCTCTCAAGTTAGTTTGAGATGCATGTATGAGTTTTCCCAAAGATATTTGAACAGGGGGTGGTAGGGAGATAAATTCACTTTCCTGGTTGTCACCTATGAATTTAAATCGGATGCTAGTGCCAATGAATTAAATGCATTTTTTTCCTACCCTGTCCTGCGTTTTTCTTGGATACTGGCTTCCCTTTGTGCCCTGATCCCCTTGCTAAGTTGAAGTTGGCCACCCCAAATCCTGACAGCTGAAGCACTTGATTGATGAAGTGAAGTACCTGGCTTTGATTTTCCCCTTCTGATGAGTCTTTAACACTGCGATTACTGAGAAGGCAACTGGGTGACTCAACGGAAGAAACTGCCTGGGAAAGGGTGGAGTGAACTGACTGTGCTTTCTCCTTGCCCGCCACACACTTGCTCTCTGGCCAGGAACTTAAAAAATAAAATGAAACCTGTCTCAAGGAAAAGCACACAGACAGTGTCGGTGAGGTAGAGGAGCTGGTGTTCAAACCAAAGCAGCTGAAATGCTCTGGCTACTCAAGACGCCTGGCGCTTGCCTTTTCTTACTACTGCCTGGAGTTTTAGGGGTCCGGTACAGGTTTCCTAAGCGCTCAGTTCGGGTAGGTTTGCGCTCCATTCCACTGCAGGGCAAGACATTTGGCGGAAAAGCTGCAGCAAGGGCTGATGAACCCTACTCCGGAGATATCGAGGGTTCTTCAACAGTCTCCTCTACAGGTAATTTAGCTTCTGTGCTATGGGCAGAGGGTCTGGAGAAATGCTAAAGGTCAGGCATATTTTCTAGGTGTTGGCTATATGCTCCATGTCTTGCATTCCCAAATATTCAGTAAATAATAATAATAATAATAATAATAATAATAATAATAATAATAGGAGCTGGACCTCAGTGTCCGGGCTGAACGATGGGGGTGGAGATGCTCCTTCAGGTATACTGGGCTGAGGCCGTTTAGGGCTTTAAAGGTCAGCACCAACACTGAATTGTGCTCGGAAATGTACTGGGAGACAATGTAGGTCTTTCAGAACTGGTGTTATGTGGTCCCGGCGGCCGCTCCCAGTCACCAGTCTAGCTGCTGCATTCTGGATTAATTGTAGTTTCTGGGTCAAAGATAGCCCTACATAGAGCACATTGCAGTAGTCCAAGCAGGAGATAACCAGAACATGCACCACTCTAGTGAGACAGTCTGCAGGCAGGTAGGGTCTCAGCCTGTGTACCAGATGGAGCTGGTAGACAGCTGCCCTGGACACAGAATTGACCCGTGCCTCCATGGACAGCTGTGAGTCCAAAATGACTCCCAGGCTGCGCACCTGGTCCTTCAGGGGCACAGTTACCCCACTCAGGACCAACACAATCTCCTTTTTTCTGGCAGGTCTGCAGGTGGGACACAAATTGTTTTGGTGTATCTTTTTTTATTGACAAGAGATGTGATGATGGCAGGCATTCTATCATTACACTCAACAACCATATTGGATTGATGAGAATTCCTGATGATACATTGGGAAACTTTTAGGTTAGGCTTTCTCAATGCTGTAGCCGAGATGTTGTGGGCTACAGCTCTAACAAGCCCATAGCCAGCCTGACAAATGAGCAGGGATGATGGAAGTTGTCGCCCAAAGCACCTGGAGGATACCAGGGTGCTTTAGAGAAAAGCCAAGTAGTAATATAAATATATATATTATAAATATGCATTGAAAAATAGGTTGTTATAACTTTTAATTATGCCCTTGTGAGTTCCAAAACTTCCCTCTTCCCCTAGCATAGAAGAAAACCCCACATTTGTTGAGTTAAAAATTGGTTCACTTACGAACCCTTCCAAGGTACGGTCCATGTGCTATTCCATACATCCCTTGGAAAAGTTGCACAGGCAGTATAACTTGTCTTACTTGCAAAGTGGTGAAAGTTCCCAAATCAGTGGTATATAGGAGCTCAAGAGAGGCTTGTTAGACCATGCGGCTAAGCATAAGCATAATAAGGCAGGCAGGGTGGGGGTGGGGGGAGAGGATAGGGAATTTGAAGAAGCTGTAAAAGTTGCACAAGTGTTAAATATTCTCCCTGACTTGCTACCATGGTTGAATCTCCAGACAGGGGCTTAAACTGCAAAGAAGTTGTTGAAATATCACAAATGGGTCATTGGCGACATGTTTGTGCGTGTGTCCTGCTTTCAGATTTTCTCCAGAATTGGTAACTTCATATTAAATTGGGGTGGCAGGACATCGCAAAAAAACTTGCATGTGTGAGGAGTTCCAATCCCACAATAAGCACTTATCTGAAAACACACTATTCCAATTGTGTCAAGCCTGTTGTGATGACCATTAGTGTAGAAATCATTTTTAAAAAAATAAAAATAGCACTGATATTCTCAATACTTTCACAGTGATAAAATCGTTAAAGCCTTGACTGCAAATCTATACTCACCTGAGGGGAGTAAGCCCTATTAAACTCTTCTATATTCTTCTTAAATGTACTTTTGAGCAGGCCTAAAACTGCACCATTTTGTGCTACACATTACTATCCCAGGCAGGCAGATTTCTTGATTTTCCATTTGTACCACACTGGAGTCCAACTTGTAAAAGAAAAGGAAAAAATTAGGAGTAGTTTGTCAAAGCCTCTTTTAAGTCCAGTCACTTAATTTGGAATATTGTGCTTCAATTGTCTTGCAGAGGCTATATGCCGGAGTCGCCCCATAGACCTTGCATTTATAATAGACAGCTCCCGCAGTGTCCGGCCTCAGGAGTTTGAAAAAGTGAAAACCTTCTTGGCCAAACTGATTGAAGCCTTGGATGTGGGGGAAAGAGCGACTCGTGTGGCGGTGGTGAACTATGCCAGTACAGTCAAGATTGAATTTAATCTTCAGAAGTACTTTGACAAAGCTTCCATGAAGAATGCCATCTATCACATCCATCCATTATCTGTGGGGACTATGACTGGCTTGGCCATCCAGACAGCCATCAACGAAGTTTTCACCAGAGACGGAGGGGCAAGGGACTCTTCCCATGACGTCCCTAAGGTGGTCATTATAGTGACCGATGGCCGACCTCAGGATCAGGTTCATGAGGTGGCTTACAAGGCTCGAGCCTCTGGAATCGAGATTTATGCCGTTGGGGTTGACCGAGCGGACATGGAGTTCTTGCGGCTGATAGTGAGTGAGCCGGTCAATGAGCACGTTTCTTATGTGGAGACCTATGGTGTGATAGAAAAGCTGGCTTCCAAATTTCGAAAAACGTTCTGTGGTAAGATAATCACTAAATGGAGATTGCACCCTTTAGTTTATGCTGCTAGGATAAGGATATACAATTGTACCTTGGAAGTCGAACAGAATCCATTCCTGAAGTCCGTTCAGCTTCCAAAACGTTTGAAAACCATTGCTTCTCACTGGCTGCAGGAAGCTCCATCTCAGCCAGGAAATGCTTAATAAGTTATTTGACCAGAAAACATTAAATGTTTTCTGTGGCACCATCAGACATAATTTTTTCTGTACACTCCTTCCCTAGCTGTGGATGTTTGTGCCCTTGGGACCCACAATTGTGAGCAACTTTGTGTGAGTAGCGATGGCTCCTGGCGCTGTGAATGCTATGAAGGGTACACCTTGAATCCGGACAAGAGAACTTGCTCAAGAAAGGAGTTGGAAGCTTCTTCAGGTAACACATTTTGTGAGATTTCTTCTGTTTTCTAAGTAATTTTCCATTTATTATTCAACTATTAATGTAATTCCTTAACATCCATCCTAGGTGGAGAGGGTTGTGTATCTGGAAGCCACGACTGTGAGCAATTGTGTGTGAGTACAGACGGTTCCTGGCGCTGTGAGTGCTATGAAGGGTACACCTTGAATCCAGACAGGAGAACTTGCTCAAGGAAGGAGTTGGAGGCTCCCTCAGGTAACAGATTTTATGAGGAGATTAGGATTTTTATTGATTTATTATTTAGTTATTAAAGTAGTTCCATAATGCCTCTCCTAGGTCGGGAGACCTGTGAGCCTGGGATCCACAATTGTGAGCAACTTTGTGTGAGTAGCGATGGCTCCTGGCACTGTGAATGTTATGAAGGGTACACCTTGAATCCGGACAAGACAACTTGCTCAAGAAAGGAGTTGGAGGCACCTTCAGGTAACATGTTTTGTGAGGAGATTTGTTTTTTTTTTAAAGTAATTTATAATTTAGTTGTTAATGTAATTCCTTATTATCTGTCCAAGGTGGAGAAGGTTGTGCATCTGGAAGCCACGACTGTGAGCAATTGTGTGTGAGAAGTGATGGCTCCTGGCGCTGTGAATGTTATGAAGGGTACATTTTGAATCCAGACAAGAGAACTTGCTCAAGGAAGGAGTTGGAGGCCCCCTCAGGTATCACATTTCATGAAATTTATTTTGTTTTCTAAGCAATTTAGCAATTTATTATTCAACTATTAATTAACTTGCTCAAGGAAGGATCTGGAGGATCCTTCAGGTAACACATGGTGAGAGAAGATTTGTTGTTTACTAATTTATTAATTAGGTATTAATGTAATTCCTTAATATATCTCCTAGGTCGGGAGACCTGCGGGCCTGGGACCCACAACTGTGAGCAGCTTTGTGTGAGTAGCGATGGCTCCTGGCACTGTGAATGCTATGAAGGGTACACACTGAATCCAGACAAGAGAACTTGCTCAAGAAAGGAGTTGGAAGCTTCTTCAGGTAACACATTTTGTGAGATTTATTTTGTTTTCTGTGAAATTTATCCATTTAGGGTTCAACTATTACAGTCATACCTTGGAAGTCAAATGGAATCTGTTCTGGAAGCCCGTTCGACTTCCAGAACGTTCAGTTCAGAAAACAAAGCGTGGTTTCCTATTGGCTGCAGGAAGCTTATGTAGCCAATCCAAAGCTGCAGAAGCCCCGTTGGACGTTCAAGTTCCAAAGAACGTTTGCAAACCGGAACACTCACTTCCGGGTTTGCGCTGTTTGAGAGCCAAAACGTCCAAGTATCAAGGCATTCGGGATCCAAGGTACAACTGTAATGTAATTCCTTAACATCTGCCCTAGGTGGAGAAGGTTGTGCATCTGGAAGCCACGACTGTGAGCAATTGTGTGTGAGTACAGATGGCTCCTGGCGTTGTGAATGCTATGAAGGGTACATTTTGAATCCGGACAAGAGAACTTGCTCAAGGAAGGAGTTTGGGGTTCCCTCAGGTAACATATGTTTTGTGGAGATTTGGCTTTTTATCAATTTATTATTTCGTTATTAATGTAGTTCCTTAATGCCTCTCCTAGGTCGGGAGACCTGTGAGCCTGGGATCCACAATTGTGAGCAACTTTGTGTGAGTGGCGATGGCTCCTGGCGCTGTGAATGTTATGAAGGGTACACCCTGAATCCAGATAAGAGAACATGCTCATGGAAAGAATTGGAGGTTCCCTCAGGTAACATATTTTGTGAGATTTTCTTCTGTTTTCTAAGTAATTTATCCATTTATTATTCAGTTATTAATGTAAGACCTTAACATCTGCCCTAGGTGGAGAGGGTTGTGCATCTGGAAGCCATGACTGTGAGCAATTGTGTGTGAGTACAGATGGCTCCTGGCGTTGTGAATGCTATGAAGGGTACACTTTGAATCCGGACAGGAGAACTTGCTCAAGGAAGGAGTTGGAGGCTCCCTCAGGTAACATGTTTTGTGAGATTTGTTGTTGTTTTTTAAAGTAATTTATAACTTAGTTATTAATGTAATTCCTTATTCTCTGTCCTAGCTGGAGAAGGTTGTGCATCTGGAAGCCATTGACTGTGAGCAATTGTGTGTGAGTAGCAATGGCTCCTGGCGCTGTGAGTGCTATGAAGGGTACACACTGAATCCAGACAGGAGAACTTGCTCAAGGAAGGAGTTGGAGGCTCCCTCAGGTATCACATTTCATGAAATTTATTTTGTTTTCTAAGCAATTCAGCAATTTATTATTCAACTATTATTTAACTTGCTCAAGGAAGGAGTTGGAGGATCCTTCAGGTAACACATTTTGTGAGATTTCTTCTGTTTTCTGTGTAATTTTTCCATTTATTATTCAACTATTAATGTAATTCCTTAACATCCATCCTAGGTGGAGAGGGTTGTGTATCTGGAAGCCACGACTGTGAGCAATTGTGTGTGAGTACAGACGGTTCCTGGCGCTGTGAGTGCTATGAAGGGTACACACTGAATCCAGACAGGAGAACTTGCTCAAGGAAAGAGTTGGAGGCTCCCTCAGGTAACACATTTTATGAGGAGATTTGTTGTTTTTTAAATTATTACTTAGTTATTGATATAGTTCCTTATCCAACCTAGGTGAAGAGAACTGTGTACCTGGAACCCACAACTGTGAGCAAATTTGTTTGAGTAGCAATGGCTCCTGGCATTGTGAGTGTTATGAAGGGTACACCTTGAATCCGGATAAAAGAACTTGCTCAAGGAAGAATCTGGAGGCTCCTTCACGTAATACATTTTCTGAGGGTCTTTTTATCATTTAAAAAAAAATAGTTTAGTGTTGAATTATTAATGTAGTTCCTTATCTGTCCTAGGTGGGGAGAGCTGTGTACCTGGGACTCACAATTGTGAGCAAATCTGTGTGAGTAGTGATGGCTCCTGGCATTGTGAGTGCTTTGAAGGCTACGTCTTGAATCAAGACAAAAGGACTTGCTCACGTAAGAATCTGGCAGCTTCATTAGCCAGCACATTTCGTGATGGGAGGTTTTGAGTTTTTTGGGTTTAAAAATATTCAGCAATGTGATTTCTTATTTGCATTTGAATACAGTGGTACCTCGGGTTAAGTACTTAATTCGTTCCGGAGGTCCGTACTTAACCTGAAACTGTTCTTAACCTGAAGCACCACTTTAGCTAATGGGGCCTCCTGCTGCTGCTGCGCCACCGGAGCCCGATTTCTGTTCTTATCCTGAAGCAAAGTTCTTAACCTGAAGCAATATTTCTGGCTTAGTGGAGTGTGTAACCTGAAGCGTATGTGACCCGAGGTACCACTGTAATCTTATTGTTCTTCAAAACTATCTTGTAAGGTAGGTCATTATTATTTATTCCCATATTGCTGGTAAAGGAGGGCTGGATCTGAGGGAATAGCATCCCTAAAACTTTAGTTATACCTTGCCATGTCATGGCTAAAGTACAGTTTGAGTTGGAGAGTTCCCCATGTCTCAGGTGACAAACCTAGCTATTATGTCACATCCACTCTCTCTAAATACCTCAAGAGGGTGATTTGAATCATTTTTCAATTAGTGTGTCTTGTTTTCCCCCCAGTTACAAAAGTCTTTATAAACCAAGAACTCTCTCTCTCTCTCTCTCTCTCTCTCTCTCTCCAGTCATACCTCGGGTTACAGACGCTTCAGGTTGCATTTTTTCAGGTTGCAGACCGCCGAAACCTGGAAGTACCAGAATGGGTTACTTCCGGTTTCGGCAGCTGCGCATGCGCAGAAGCACTAAATTGTGTTTTGCGCATGCGCAGAACGCCGAATTGCAACCCACGTGTGCGCAGATGCACCGCTGCGGCTTGTGAACGTGCATCCTGCACAGATCACGTTTGCAACCCGAGCGTCCACTGTATATATAATGGTTGTACCAGGTCACGCCACTTTGAGCCCCTTTATGGATATGGATATGGATATGGATATTGCAGGATATGGATGTGCTAAATAAGTAAATATGTCTTTGTGAAGACCAAGTTACACAGTATATCTCAACTCCTTCCCTAGCTAGAGAAAAGGACGTTTGCACAACTGGAGACCATGACTGCGAACAGATCTGTGTCGCCAGCGGTGACTCTTGGCACTGCGATTGCTTTGAAGGGCACACCTTGAATCCGGACAAGAAGACCTGTTCAAGTAAAGATATGGCAGCTCATTCAACATATATTTAATGAGACAGAGAGGGTGCAAGCCTATTTATTGTGATTCTCTCTTTTTTTAATAGTTCATTCTTCAGCTTTGGACGTCTGTGCGCCTGGAACTCATGACTGCCAACAAATCTGTGTTCCCAGTGGCAGTTCCCATCGTTGTGAATGCTATGAAGGATTCAGCCTGAATGCAGATAAGAAAACATGCTCAAGTAAGAATCTGGCCGATACATCAGGAAGGAAAAGCATAGTGTTGCTTCTTTCCCCCCAGTACATATTTCAGTTTGGTTGAGAAACTGCATTCTTAGTGGGCTTACTGCCGTTTTTCTTGAGAATGGTTTCTCTCCGCTTGGCTGTGTACGTACCACGCATCTAAGGCACCCACCCCTCAAGAATCCTGGGATCTGTAGTTCACCCCACACAGCATCTGAACAAACTACAGTTCCAGGATTCTTTGGGGTGTGTGGAAATGTATTTTTAAACGTGTGGTGTATAACAGCTGCATGACAGGACGACGCTTACCCTTGAAGAGAGATGTCCTGAGGAGGAAAGCTATGCTGTCATGATATCTTCTGTCATGAAGATGTTTAATGGTTTTCTCCCATTTTGGGGAGCTGTGCTCTCCCATGGGTCATGTGACTCACATGGGAGCGAGGCCTGGAAGACACACATCCCAGTTTTTTACTGGGACATGCTGGAGGGCATAGTGGCACCATTCACATAGCAAAAACTACCACAGAGATATCAACGTTTTCAAAAGTAAGGGGGTCCATGACTCAGCGTTTTAAAAAACAGGGCGTCCGCAGTACTCAGCTAATTGGGAACCATTGGTTTAGATACTAATGTTTTATTTATTGTACCCTGCTCTGATATTGCCTGTGGCAATGAAGGTAAAGGGACCCCTGACCATTAGGTTCAGTTGTGACCGACTCTGGGGTTGCGGCGCTCATCTCGCTTTATTGGCCGAGGGAGCCAGCGTACAGCTTCCGGGTCATGTGGCCAGCATGACTAAGGCGCTTCTGGCGAACCAGAGCAGCGCACGGAAACGCCGTTTACGTTCCCACCAGAGCGGTACCTATTTATCTACTTGCACTTTGACGTGCTTTCGAACTGCTAGGTTGGCAGGAGCAGGGACTGAGCAACAGGAGCTCACCCCATCGTGGGGATTCAAACCGCTGACCTTCTGATCGGCAAGCCCTAGGCTCTGGGGTTTAGACCACAGCACCACCCATGCTGGTCTAATAATAATAAAAGGTAAAGGGACCCCTGACCATTAGGTCCTGTCGTGACCGACTCTGGGGTTGCGGCGCTCATCTCGCTTTATTGGCCGAGGGAGCCGGCGTACAGCTTCCAGGTCATGTGGCCAGCATGATTAAGCCGCTTCTGGCGAACCAGAGCAGCGCACGGAAACGCCGTTTACCTTCCCGCCAGAGCGGTACCTATTAATCTACTCGCATTTTGATGTGCTTTCGAACTGCTAGGTTGGCAGTAGCAGGGACCGAGCAACGGGAGCTCACCCTGTCGTAGGGATTCGAACCGCCGACCTTCTGATCGGCAAGCCCTAGGCTCTGTGGTTTAACCCACAGTGCCACCTGCGTCCCGTGGCAATGAAGAGTGGGTAACAAATATTGTTAATACGAAGATAACCAAAAGCATATGGTTCATTTTCTCCTCAGGAATAGCAAGAAGCCGTCTTCCTCCTACGACAACGGAAGAGGCCTGTAAATGTGAATCACTTGCTAAATTTCACAAGCTGGCCACTTCATACCTTGAGGCAATATCTACAAAACATATCCTTTCTTTTGAGATCTTTTCAGTGGTGGATGCATTGCTGTTTCGCGTGCTTCCTCGTGTGGCAAACGTCTCTGCGAAATCTGATCTGCAACCATGTGATATGTTCCTTAACGGTTGACCACTAGATGATCTGTCCAAGAAATTAGAAGCATACCAGTATGGAGCAGAGCATGTCTAGAGCTGAAGAACCTGCTGCAATTAAAAACAATTCCTGCCTATTGCACTTTGCAAGCTTTTCTTTCAAAGGAGTTGCTTTGTGGTTAAAAAAAAAATGTGCAAATGTGTGTAGTGATGTCACTTGTGTAATGCACATAATTGTGTCTAATCAAAGAAAGTTCATTCTGCATAAAAATCAATGTTGTTTTTATAGTTGTATGCACTGTGCAGTGCATATTTCTACAACTATATTTGAATGCGGTGGTTAAAACTAAAACTGCCCCTCTCATATCCAACCATTTATAGGTACAGATAAAGCCATCTAAATAGTTGTGGCTGGTATGGTGCATTGTAAAAACTTTTCTGCATCTGGCAAAGTAGACTATAAATGCTATCTTCTATCTCTGATTTCCATTTAAATGATATTTCTTTGCCTTTAGAGACATATATGTCCAGTGGGACAAGCCACTCTAAATGACATTCAGGTCCCTTTAAACCCAATTTTTTAATCCAGAAGGACTCAAAATATATCAGCAGAATGGACTGGCTCAAATATCACTATTATGTGGATGAAACACAATGTACAGCGGAAGGTTAAAAGCCCTTAACATTATTTGCCGCCCTATGGCACATGTTAATGTAATTTACATCTTGCAGACTTTAATTTTAATAAAGATCAGCATACTCTCGAAATGTTTTCTTTTCTTTTCTATGTAGCTCTGTGAGAATCTATACAATACATTAAAAAACAGGAAATTTGTTTGTCACTGTGAAAGCGACTTAGCCCATGGTTCATTGATTCAACGAGAGTTCTTATCTTAATATAAAGGTAAAGGTACCCCTGTCCGTATGGGCCAGTCGTGACCGACTCTAGGGTTGCGCGCTCATCTCGCTCAAGAGGCCGGGAGCCGGCGCCGTCCGAAGACACTTCCGGGTCACGTGGCCAGCGTGACTAAGCTGCACTGGCGAGCCAGCACCAGTGCCGCACACGGAAACGCCGTTTACCTTCCCGCTATAAAGCGGTACCTATTTATCTACTTGCACTTAGGGGTGCTTTCGAACTGCTAGGTGGGCAGGAGCTGGGACCGGACGACGGGAGCTCACCCCGCCGCGGGGATTCGAACCGCCAACCATACAATCGGCAAGCCCTAGGCATTGAGGTTTTACCCACAGCGCCACCCGCGTCCCTTATCTTAATATAAAGGTAAAGGTACCCCTGCCCGTACGGGCCAGTCGTGACCGACTCTAGGGTTGTGCGCCCATCTCACTCAAGAGGCCGGGGGCCAGCGCTGTCCGGAGACACTTCCAGGTCACGTGGCCAGCGTGACATCGCTGCTCTGGTGAGCCAGAGCTGCACACGGAAACGCCGTTTACCTTCCCGCTAGTAAGCGGTCCCTATTTATCTACTTGCACCCGGGGGTGCTTTCGAACTGCTAGGTTGGCAGGCGCCGGGACCGAACAACGGGAGCGCACCCCGCCGCGGGGATTCGAACCGCCGAGCTTTCGATCGGCAAGCCCTAGGTGCTGAGGCTTTTACCCACAGCGCCACCCACATCCCTTATCTTAATATAGTTGTCCCTTATTCTCTATTACAGGTCCTTAAAATAAATAAATGCTTTTATATCTGAATAGCAAGTTTTGATTTTTCCACAGGGACCCTACATGCACTGCTTATTGTTCACTAAGTTAGGGTTGCCATATTTCTAGAAGTAAGAGTCAGGACACAAAAGTCATTTAGCTTTTTTCAGGCAACATCCTCCTAGATATTTTGCCGATTTTCCAAACTCCCTGCTGGAATTAAATCTTGGAGATGTCTAGGAAATTCCAGACGTATGGCAAACCTAACTGTGTGTGAATATATGTTCATACCCTCAGGTGGGGAAAATGAATTGCACAGATATAAACTGAAGCAAGAGAGGAAGTAGACTAGAGCGTTCCTAATAAAGGCTCTGTGTCTCTGATTTTTGGATACTTAATGTCAACACAGAGAGAGGCACTGAAGAAGGGAGGTTAAACCTGTAAAAAATAATAATAATAATCCTCTCACACAGCTGCCAAAGATGTTCAGGACTTGTATTAGATAAAATAAACATGGGGAGTAGTAACTCCAGCCTGGGTGGGCAGGCACAGAATTTGCACCTGGACAACCAAGTCATAACTGGTCATACAGCTGAGCTCTCCTTCACCCCATTTCTCGCTTTGTCCCTCTCCATTCTCAGCAGCCCCCAATAAGGTAAAGGGACCCCTGACCAATAGGTCCAGTCGTGGCCAACTCTGGGGTTGCAGCGCTCATCGCGCTTTATTGGCCGAGGGAGCCGGCGTACAGCTTCCGGGTCATGTGGCCAGCATGACTAAGCCGCTTCTGGTGAACTGGAGCAGTGCACGGAAACACCATTTACCTTCCCGCCGGAGCCGTACCTATTTATCTACTTGAACTTTGACGTGCTTTTGAACTGCTAGGTGGACAGGAGCTGGGACCGAGCAACGGGAGCTCACCCCGTCACGGGGATTCGAACCGCCAGCCTTCTGATCGGCAAGTCCTAGGCTCTGTGGTTTAACCCACAGCGCCACCCGCAGCCCCCAATACTACCTTCCAAAAGCCAACCTTTAAGGGAGCTCTTTATGGGGGGTGGGCAAACCTTTTGTTTTTGGAGACGATCACCCCAGGAAATGGTTCCTCATTTTTGAAGGTAGGAAGGTTGCCCACACTTCAGAAGGGATGGATGGAAATGAAAGCCATGATAAAAGAACAGGTGACACATTTGTGTGGAAAGGTGGGGAGAGAGAACCAAACTTTCCTCGAAACAAAATACAGTGGTACCTTGGGTTAAGTACTTAATTCGTTCAGAGGTCTGTTCTTAACCTGAAGCACCACTTTAGCTAATGGGGCCTCCTGCTGCTGCCACGCCGCCAGAGCACAATTTGTTCTTATCTTGAAGCAAAGTTCTTAACCTGAAGCACTATTTCTGGGTTAGCAGAGTCTGTAACCTGAAGCGTATGTAATCCGAGGTACCACAGTAAAAAAATTCCTTCCAGTAGCACCTTCGAGAACAACTTTCCTCAACATGGAACTATAGCAATTTATCCTTAAAATACTTGGCTGCCTCCGCGTAGCTTTCTCCTTGCATTGAGAACTCCACTGTCGGTCAGTATATTCCATTTTTTATGTGTATATCCTGTCATGGAATACCAGTGACCCTATTTAATCTGCCACACCTAAATGTTAAGTTATGTTTATATTTAATATATGAATATCATTTAAGAAATAAATCAACCAAGTGCATTCACTGAATTTCATGATTCCACATGTGCATTCAGTGTTTTCTGCTAATAGATGATCACATATAATATAAAATGTATAATAAGCCAAACTCACCCTATTCACAGTGGCTAACTTCCATGTGTCATCTGTTAAAAATACTAGACGGCAAATATCCACCACCTTCAAAGAATGGTAAATATCTGAGACTAGGACTATTTGCATTTTTTAATCACCAAAGGTTTCTGTAGCCTCACTAGTTCAGACTTAACAAACATCACTTTTCATAAACACAGCAAAACAATTAATGTTTTTGTCTTGTGGGTATCCCGTCAAATTCCTGTCACAGATCGCCTGCCAATTTTATGCAAAGGTCTGGCTATTATTTTTTTTTAAAAAAGGCTTTGAAATACCTGATTCTGATTCACATATTTTTCCAGTTGTTGTTCTGCCTCGCTCTGTAATAATTTAAGATCCTCCCCTGATTTTCTCATTTTTTCCTAAGTGGTGGGAAAAGGCCCACAGTACTTTTTCGGAGGGAATATAAGGTTAGCTGAATTTAAAGGTTTTGGCTCTTTATCTTCGCTGTCGTGGAATGCACCTAAGGCACAAAATAATAGGGATGGTCGAGGCTGCTTGCTAAATGCACATCTATCAGCCCCCTTCACCTGTGCATCGCATGAAGGGGAATCACTGGAAGAATGGGGCTGGTGCCTCTGGCCCCACTCTCAGTATTGCATGGTGCTGATGATTCCTACTCCGATTGTTCACATATTAGCCGTGGACATCAGAGGGATGCCTTGTGACTTCAGGTACGGGACCAGAAGTACAGCCCCATTCTAAGCATGTTTTTCCTCCCCGATGCACACCTGAAGAGCAGTGCCGGTTTTACATATAAGCTAAACAAGCTATAGCTTAGGACCCCACTCTCTTGGGGGCCAAAAAAAAACTTAAAGGAAAAAAGAACTGGATGTACGTTTCTAAAATATAAGATAAAATACATATTTTCTTATGTGCAAATGGCTTTAAATACCTAGTAGGTCCATCCGCGGGTGGCGCTGTGGGTTAAACCACAGAGCCTAGGACTTGCCGATCAGAAGGTTGGCGGTTTGTATCCCCGTGATGGGGTGAGCTCCCGTTGCTCGGTCCCTGCTCCTGCCAACCTAGCAGTTCAAAAGCACATCAAAGTGCAAGTAGATAAATAGGTACCGCTCTGACGGGAAGGTAAACGGTATTTCAGTGTGCTGCTCTGGTTCGCCAGAAGTGGCTTAGTCATGCTGGCCACATGACCCGGAAGCTGTATGCCGTCTCCCTCGGCCAATAAAGCGAGATGAGCGCCGCAACCCCAGAGTCGGTCACGACTGGACCTAATGGTCAGGGGTCCCTTTACGTTTTTAGGTCCATCAATTACCATATAGCATATATTCAACACAAAAAACAGAGACAATTCGTTGTTGACAAAGGACAGCTAGAAATATAAAGGGCCCTCTTACCTTCAGTAGCTTAGGGCCTCATCAGACCTAAATCCGGCTCTGCTGAAGAGGGCTATCGATTTTCATAGCAAAACCCGAATGGCTTTAAAAGAGGGTTAGACAAATTCATGCAGGAGAAATGCTATCAGAGACCATGTTCTCCCCTCCAGCGTTGGAGGCAGCAGGACTCTGAATCCCAGTTACCGGGAATCACCAGAGTGCTGTTGTGGTCAGATCCTGTTCTCAGGCTCCCCACTGGTGTCTGTGGAAAAAGGATGCTGAACTAGATTGGTCAGTCTTCTTCTGGCTAGTCCTCATATGTTCTTTATCTTGCACAATACTTTTGTTATCAACTTTGATCAGAGGTTAGGACTATCTTGTTTTGCAATGTGTGCCTCCTTGCTCTAAATTGTTTTTACTCTTTCCAACATGGCCCTGTTTCTCCTGCTTCAAAATCCAATCTTCCTGGTCACCCATCAACACTTCCTTGTTTTCATTCAGAGTCTACAATGTAGATGAATGATATGCCTTTTGAATGATGCCCAAAGCCACCTGGGTAAGCTGCAATTTCAATCAATACTTTATTCTGTCAGTCTTTGATGAAAGCTACCCAGGGTTGCTGTTTCCAAGATAAAACTGCCTGAGATCACCTTTGGATGAATCAAATACTCACAACTTGAGAGATACTTTATTAACTACTATCAAAACATATTAGTGGTTTTGCTCTGCATCTCTCTCTCTCTCTCTCTCTCTCTCTGTGTGTGTGTGTGTGTTTTAACTTATCCCAATTTTGATTATTTAGATAAAAACATTTATATGGTTTCAGAGAACAAGGAATCCAATTTGTCAAATAACAGCATTTTATAACAGACAATTATTATTATTATATACAGTGATACCTCCGGTTGCGAACAGGATCCGTTCCAGAGCCCTGTTTTCAACCTGAAATAAATGCAACCCGCGTCTGCGCACGCACGGGTCGCAATTCTCCGCTTCTGCGCATGCGCGTGACATCGTTTTTCGTGTCTGCACGTGCGCGAGCAGTGAAACCTGGAAATAACCCTTTCCAGTACTTCTGGGTCACCATGGGACGCAACCTGAAAAGACGTAACCTGAAGCTAACGTAACAAGAGGTATGA